GTGTGTGTGTGTGTGTGTGTGTGTGTGTGTGTGTGTGTGTGTGTGTGAATAGAGTCAAGGAAGATTTAGGGTTACAGAAGTTAGATATGGATCAGAACTAAAATACCATCTGGCTCAACTCCATTTTGAACTGAGGTTCAGAAAAGGGAAAAGATTTGCTTAAGGCCCCAGACAGGTAGGTAGCAGAGGCAGATTTAGAACCCAGATGTTCTGCTTTCAGGTCCATTGCTCTTCCCATTACATCAGAGGAGAGCAATTTCTGTTTCTGAGGAAAAAAAGAATCATAAAACAGGCTTGAAGCAAAATGGTATAAATCACTCCCTCAAAGTAACTTTTTTAAGCCGAAGTCATTTGAGAGAGACTGTTAGGCCATTGTAGTGAAAGACAGAGATACAAGGATGTTGGGAAATTACTGCTGAGAAGACGGGCACTGAGACAAAGGATAAGGTGGGGCTAGGCTAGTGAGGCCTTCACTGGGATGTGGTTGGTCTGGTAGCTTCCTATTTTAACTCTTTATTCTTGGTAATCAGATGCTAAGTTCATTTGTTTCTCTACAGTGACTCACCACATGTGTGGTCTAAATTTCATTGTCCTGAGGAACAGCTCTGGTTACATTGCCCAAGTTACAATTCATCCTTAGAAGTACGAGTCACCTTGGAGCCAATATCTAGACACTAGGAGCCTGAAGGAAAACCACCAAAGGTAGTAAAGATCAAGGAAAAAGGAGGCAGAAGCAGCAGCCTGGAGACAATTATCTAGCTCTGGCTCTCATTTGCTCTATGCTGGTTTTTATAATTTTCCCATGCAGCTTAGAGTCCCATGAGTCATTAAAGAAATGGGTGAGACCAATTTTCATTTAGTAAGAAATGCCTACGCTGAGACTCTCTCATGCCCAAAAGGCTGAGACTTTCTCATGCCCGCTGGCCCCCCTGGGCATTACTAATGTTCAGATTCCTTAAGAGTCTGGCCTATATGATTTCTCTCTAACAAACTTTTTCTCTGGCTGGAAGAAGATTTGAGTTGAATTCATTCAGGCAGGGCCCGCATTGCGATCTTGGGGGGTTCCAGCATCCCTAACCTCTCGACCTCATCATATAGTTCCCTGCACCAGGAATAACTGCCAAATCTCAAACTCTTCTCCAGCCATGACTGGAAGGTACGTAAGCCTCTCCCTCCCCAATTCTTTGTTGTCTTGTAGCTGGGAGGGAGATTTCCAAGCACCTAACTAAGCTTGGCTTGGAAGTGTTTTCAGGCCTGACCTCTCAGGTCCTGCTAGGTCAGACAGCTCCAAGGCTGTCTCGAACTCAGCCTGACACTCTCAGGCTCTCAGTCTAGTGGTTCTGTTTGAGCACTTGGATCTGGGTACAACTTCCTTAGCATAGAGGACGGACTTCCTCTCAGGAAGCATAGGTCCAATGCTCTCATTTCTCTCAGTGCTAGGGAATTGAGAAACTGTTGGATTTTTTCTCTTTTTATTCTTTTTCCTTTCCCCTAAGCCCACAATGGATCAATCCTCTTCAATTCCCAAGAATTTGCCATCGGGCTGTCTTTTACAAAATTGGAAAAATTTTAGCTTCTCTAAAGGACTTAAAAAGAAAAAGCTGGTGTATTTCTGCAACACCATTTGGACTCAGTATCACCTGGAAAATTATGAGGTATGGTCCCTTTTTGGGACATTACGGCTAAAGACCCTCTCAGAATTAGAAAGATATTGTTGCAGAGAAAGAAAATGGGTGGAGATTTCTTACTTAATGGCTTTTGTTGAGTTTTCTAGAGATCCCATTCTCAGAAAGGATTGTAAGATGCTTGTAGCTACAGCCACCCCATTAATGGGGAATGGGGATCAAATGGACTTTTTAGATGATCCTCTCCTTATGGCTCCTAGGGTTATGGCAACCCCCTCTTCCCAGCCTTGTCGGCACCACCTCCCCAGCACCTATCTCCACCCCATTCTCCTCTGGCCTCTCCAGCTGTTCCCCATTCTCCCCAGACCCTTCCTTCTGCTCCCCATTCTCCCTTGACCCCTCTTACATTTCCCTATTCTCCCCTGGCCTCCCTTGTTTCCCATGTCCCCTTTCCCTTACCCATCTCCTCTTTCCCTTGGTTTCCCTTCACCTTTCCTCAGGCTCCTCTATTTCCTTCCCAGGCCCTTGCTCTGGAGGCAACTTCTACTCAGGCCTTGAGCAAGGGCCTCGCCCCAGCCTCTACTTCTGAAGACACCCCTGCTCAGGCTCCAGATAAGGGTCTTGCCTTGGCGTCTCCTCCCCTGACCCTTCCTCCTCCTCCAGCATCAAGTAATCTTTCCCCTTGCCAGCAGAATTCCTTGGCCTTGCCAGTTCAGTTGGCACTTTCCAGTCCCTCACTCACGAGAAGTGGGACTTCCTATCTCCCTCCCCCACAAACCCCTGCTCCTGCAGGGCCTTCAGGGCTTTTTCCTTTAAGGGAAGTACCTGCCTCTCCCAATGGGACACTTAGGGAACATGTTCCATTCTCTGTTCCAGACCTCAACCAGATTAAAGAAAGGCTGGGTCAATACTCTGAAGATCCCACTAAATTTACTGAGGGCTTCAGGGATGTGTCCCTACAATTTGAACTTTCTTGGAGTGATTTGCATGTCCTCTTCTCTACCTGCTGTACCATTGAGGAAAGGAAGAGAATCTGGAACAAGCCCAAAACTTTGGGGATAGTTTTGCTAGCAATGACCACACAAAATACCCCCCAGGAATAGCTGCTGTTCCCTCTAGTGATTCGGGGTGGGATTATCAGAAGAGTGAGGATGGGGAAAGAAAGACTACGTGATAATTTGCCTGTTATAACACCTGAAAACAGTATTTTGAAAGCAAGTAAACTTTCAGAAGATTAAGGGAATTACTCAGGGAGAAAAGGAAAACCCTTCCCTTTTCCTAGATAGGCTAGTAGAAGCCATTAAAAAGTATATGAATTTAGATCCTGACTCTACAGAAGGGGCAGCAATCTTTACCATGTATTTCATTAACCAGTCTGCCCCAGATATTAGGAGGAAACTACAGAAATTGGCAATGGAACCCCAAACACCTCAGGCCCAATTGTTGGAGACTGTCTTTGGAGTCTTTAACAACAGAGACATAGTTGCTGCAGAGGAGAAAGAACACAGGCAGAGGGCTAGAGACAAAGAACATGCTCTGTTCCTGGCTGCTGCCATGGTTAGGAAAAGACCCAAGGGTGTTCCTGGCAACTTGGGTGGTGGGAAAACCTGCTTTCAATGCCACCAGAAGGGTCACTGGTCCAAGGAGTGCCCCTCCAGGGGACCCCCTTGGAGGAAACCCCCGGGACGGACACCTCAAGGACCTTACCCAAGATGTGACCAAGAGGGACATTGGAAGAAGGATTTTCCCTGAGGTAGAAGTGGTAAAGCAGTCCCCCAGTATCCTGTCCTCCAGTCTTCTCAAGACTGGGGAAGACATGGGAGCCTGGGTCCTGGCAACACTCCCATTTTCTCCATCTCTCTTGCCAAGCCCTGGGCAGAAATCGAGGCTGAAGGTTCCTTTCTTCTAGGGTCAGAACCATCAACTTCCAGATGACTGCTGAGGTCTCTAGCCCACTGAACCTGGCATCTTCCAGGTTCTGAAGTCTGACCCCTCGAACAGGACCCAGGGAGGCAGGGACAGCTCTATGCCTCTTGCCAACAGAAAGCAGTTTCAGAAGCCAAGACTTCCGCCCCTTCCACAAAAAGAATTTGGGTCCCATTTGTTTGAGGGGGGAATGATGGGGTATGGGCCTAAGCTGAGACCTTTTCCCCTTGCCCTAAAAAGAATCTGATTCCCATTTGTCTACAGGCCCCAGAAAAACCCTTAAACTTTTAGGTTCCTTATCGACTCCCGTTATCTCCCTTTGAAAGCCCTACTCCCACCTTTTGATTCTTTCAAATTTCTTCCTTCCAGTTCCCTTCATTATCTATTCCCATTGTCTATTCAGTCTCTCAGACCTTCCAATCAGAATTCTCACCTAGACCCTTTTCCCAGTCCCCTCCTCTGGCCACCCAAAGTTACTTTAGTGTATATAAGATCCGCCCTGGCCCCCATTCAAACACTGAGACTCTCTCATGCCCAAAAGGCTGAGACTTTCTCATGCCCACTTGTCTCAATGGGTGTTACTAATGTTCACATTCCTTAAGAGTCTGGCCTATATGATATATCTCTAATAAACTTTTTCTCTAGCTGGAAAAAAAAAAGAAATGCCTATGTTTTGATACAACCATAAAGGGCTCTAATATAAGTTGGTAACAGATAACACCCTAGTTCAATTGGTAAGACTTAAGTGAGGACAAAGATATAATTGTTAACTGTAGGATTTGAAGTCAGAGAAGTATAATTTAGTTCAGTCCACTAATTTCACAAATGAAGAAACTGAGTCCCAGAGAAGAGTCTTGCCTTAGATCACACAGTTGCAAGGCTGGGATTTGAATCCAGAACTTCTTATTCCAAATCCATATCTCTTTTTTAGAGAAGCAGTAGTGTGGAGTGGAGTGATCTGAGTTTAAGGCATGGTCCTTAAGAAAGAAATCTAGGCTGTAAACCCTAAGATATCTTGCAAGGATTCAGCCATCAAAATTTACATTCCTTTGGACAGAGCACCCTCAGGTACAGATATTATACCTTATGTGGACAGAGGGAGAAGGAGGAGAGGAGAGAAGAGGAGAAGAGAAGAAAAAGAAAAAAGGAAGGAAGGAAGGAAAGAAGGACGGAAGGAAAGAAGGAAGGAAGGAAGGAAGGAAGGAAGGAAGGAAGGAAGGAAGGAA